GACAGCATCAGGCAGCTGCAGGCAGGATGGCCTCGGCGGGAACAGTTTCGTAACTGCTCGCGCCGCACGGTTGGGAATGTATTTGAATAAGGGAATGTACCCCTTAGAGTACATGGCTAGCTAGGTCGTTTCATCTCCGCTGTACTCATATTTATATTTGCTGTATTTGCATGTTTTATTCATCTCAAGCATTTACATTCACTCTGCTATTGAGGTCAAGGGCCCACCAACATCACTTCTCTGCGTGCGAACCTTCCTGAGTAGATCCTAGGCCACGATCAACTTCTGATCGCAGCAATGTGCGCATGAACCTAACGAACCTTACCATCCAATCGTAGAAACGCGAATGATTAGCAGGAGAGGTAACAGCAGGCAGGAGGGAGGGGGAGCAACCCTCAAAGAAGGAGGGGAGGGGAGTGCCACGAGAGGCTGGTACAGCATGGGCAGTAGTCTCAGCCTTGAGGAGACGCTTCTCAAACGAGGCAAGGGTGATTTCAATGGGATCTAGGGAGAGAAAGTAGTCTCGAACAGTGCGGAGGGAATCAGGGAGGCGAGTCACGAGGATGTAGAGAGTGAAATACATACGGGGCTTGTTTGTAGTCCGAAACCCTGCGCGTGTCAAGGAAGCGCATGTGAGTAATGAGGTCGGGTACAGTGGGAGCGTCTGACAGCTCAGGGAAGAGGAACGGCAGAGCTAGACAAGCTAAGGCAGCAGAAGAGGGGGAGGAGTGGCGCTTGACGACAACGTTGGCCATCTTGAGCTGGAAGTGGGGCCTCTGGTCTAGCGGGAGGTGGTTGCGGACAACACTTTGGGCGGTAGCGTCTTGTGACTGCCACTGTGAACGAGCTATGCGATTAACCGTCTCATCTAGGGTAGGAAAAGACCCCGAGGTATGCTCATACAATGAGACGTCGTCCCTAGTAACGCTCTGCATGTACAGGTACAGGTCACGCGCAGTAGCAGGGGACCGCGGCGTGCACGTCGCGCGGGGCAGCGGGGCAGCAGGGGCCGCGGGGCGTGCGTTGTATGAGGCAGGGGGGTCGCGCGCACCAGTAGGGCGTGTGACGACGGCGCGCGGAACAGTTTGGGTAGCCGGGCAGCGAAGGGCTCGCGCAGCAACGTGCAAGGCGCGCGCGGAGCAACATGCGGGGCAGCGAGGCAGTGGGGCAATGGAATAACGCGCGATGGGCAGCTCCTTCAAAAAAAATGTTTAGGTTAGGAATGGTCCTAAACTCTGAAACCATGTCAACATTGTAGACTAGGAATGAGTGGGATTAGGCCAAGGAGGGGAATATAAGCAAAGTGTCGAGCAAGATTCTGTACCCCCTAAGGCTAGCTCCCCGTTTGTGTGCCATGGTGCTAGCCGCTTAGGGAGACCTTGACGCTCCAGGCATCCCGGCTCCTCATACTTACGCTTAGGCAGTATCAGGATAGTGGGCCTCTTAGTGGATAGCAACCATGGACTTAGAGATGGCGTTTTGGAGTTCCACAAGCCCATACATCGACGCTAAACCCCCTCCTTGGGCTAACATAGTCGATGACATGCGTATCTTAAAAGTCAATAGGCCGTCAGGATCGTCACTGTCTTCAAGGCGCGCTACGTGATTAAAGGCTTCAATCAGCGTGAGGGAGTAGACTTCTTCCAGACCCCAAAGATGAATATTCGTCTGGTGCTACTTCACGTTGTAGCACAGTAAGGCTACGAGTTGCACTCACAAAACTTCTCCGCTGCCTTCCTCCAAGGCAGCACGAGGAGCTCTGGTCGTGTCGCCCTCCGGGCTTCACTGTCACTTTTTTTTCCTGGGACCCACTGGAGCCTGAGACGACCAGTCTATTTCGCACGGCAGCTTGTGAGTGGTACGGCACTCTCCGCTCCACTCTTGCTTCTCTTGGGTTATGTCTTTCGTTCCTTGACCCATCAGTATTCGTTCATACTGGCCCCACTCATTTCTTCATCCTTATCTACATCGACGACTTTGTCTTCGTTACTACAACCAGGGTTGCTCTGGGTGAGGTGAAGACCGTACTGCTTAGAGACACACGTGCATTGACCTTGGTGAACTTCGCAGCTTCCTTGGCTTGCAAATCACCAAGGACAAAGCCGCTCGCACCATCACTCTATGACCCAGTCAATGGTGTTAGGTCCTTCAGCGGTTCGAGCTTCAGTTCTCCACCATACAGCCCTCTCCTCTTGCTGTCGACCACAGACCCACTGGTCCTATTCCTGACGAGCATGTTGAGCCGAGTGGTCACTACGAAGAGCTAGTGGGTTTGCTCATATACCTGATGACTTGCACTTGTGAGAGTACGACGGCTTATGCTGGCTTTGCTAGCTTGCCTGGACTTTATGATGCTATTACTAGCTTAGCTTTATTTTATCTTGCATGCTTTTGCTTGACTTCCTAGGTTCGTTGGTTTTACTATAGTTATTATAGTTATAGCACCGAACTAGGTTGAGTGCACCGAATTCTAGGCTTTTCGGTTGCCACCGAATTGCCTTCTACCGAATTCGGGAAGGACCCGTTCGGGACGCTTCGCGACCCGCGGAACCATCTAGTAACACCAGAGTTACTGCCTTTGTTTCGAGCCTATATAATATAGCCTCGCCTTGTACCCAGGTGATTCATTCAATAGAATCATCTTTCATGAACCAGATCCTCAGCACTCGTCTGGACCTCGCTTGTCCTCTGAGCGTCCTGGCTCGCTTTGTTCCGATGGGATATGTCAGAATCCCAACCACTAGACCATTAAGATAAAATGGCTTGTTAAGTAGCGGGTCAGTGCGCCCATAACCCCCAAGGCCAACGTGCCTGTAACCCTTCCCTAGGATCAATCGGGGATCACCAGTGGACCTCTGACACCCCCCCGCACTAGGATGCCCGAAGTGCATACACCGGGATTCGAACCCGAGACCTTCGCTCTGATACCATGTCAGAATCCCAACCACTAGAACATTGGGATAAAAGGGCTTGTTAAGTAGCGGGTCAGTGCGCCCATAACCCCCCAGGCCTGTCAGAATGAGAAGTGATTGAACTATGAAAAGTTGGAGTACAAGTAGCAAACCCTAGTTTTGTGTACTCCCTAAAGGCTAACCCACTATAGCCTACACAACAATAACACATATAGTGTTTGACAAGGCCAACGTGCCTGTAACCCTTCCCTAGGATCAATCGGGGATCACTACATCGTCTTGTTCACTGAACGGCTGCTCAGGCATTGCGACTCGTCGTGGGCGGACGACGAGCAGACCTGCATGTAAACTCAGTGTTACCGTTTCAGCCTGGGCTCCAGAGCTATGACGTAGAGGTCTAGATGGTCTTCGGATGTGGCTTCGTTTAGTCATGAGGCCGAGATCTACGCTGGTGTCATGGCTGCTGAGGAGCTCTGCTGGCCGACCTTCTTGCTCGGTGACATAGGTGAGAGACCTAGCTCTGCATTGACCTTGTTTGCTGACAACAAGGTCATGATCCTCTTGGTCGAGAACCTCAATTGGAGGGCAGAGTGAAGCACATCGATATACGGTACTTCTTGCTGCGTTCGTTTTCGTTTTCCTACTTGTATCTCATGCTTCCTAGTCGCACATCATTCCTCTATCGTACTCATGAGATATTCATGCTTTTGTTTAGCGAGGGGGCTTGAGAAGGAAGGGGGTAGTGTAAGGAGATTTTTCAGATTCCTTTACCGTGCACCACCACAGCGCGTGCAACAATCGATCGTTCTTCTCTCGCTACAGCATTAAACGGTATTCGCCACTTCGCGAGTGACATATACCAAACCACGCACTGCTGGACTTGGCCGAGTTGGCCTACGCTTTAGGACTAGTCCGAACCTCGCTGCCAGCATCACACGAGCTAGCTGGCACGCACCGTGTTACCTTTTGCTCGTTTCGCTACAAATGTTCGCTCATGTCTTCGCTCACACTTGTACTGGTTTGCCAATCCTCATTGCACCCGTTACGGAGTTATAACGGAGAGTGTCCTTTGGCGAAAGTTGTCCAAGTTCGAACTCCAACCGCTTTGTGGCGAAACGGTTCTCAACGGTTCTCAATTGTGTGGAAATAGAGCATCCATTCACTGTTGCCTTCGCCCCACACTCTTGTTGATTTGCTCACTGTGACGCACACCGTACAGAACCAATGGCGGAGGAAGCGGAACGCCGTCGCGCCCAGTCATCGGCGGAGCCTGCGGAGCCGTCTGCAAGCGGCCTCGCGGAACTTTCGTCGGCAGTGGCGGCAGAGGGGGCGACAGGGGCCGGCGATTTTGCAGGGGAAGAAGCTGCGACGGCGACGCCGCCATTCACGGCGGCAGCCGCGGGAGGTGTGTCCGTAGAACGCGGCGAAGGCGGCAAGGGCGCAACCGACGGTGGGATCTGGATGCGCGAATTCAGCGAAGAGGGTCCCGACGGGACGTTTCATTTCCAAGTGGTGAAGCTGATCCAGCAGGTGCGCGTGCGAGGGGTGAGAAGCGGGGGAAAATAGGAGGGCTGGGGAGGTGTAAGTAGGAGGGGTAAGGAGGACGGATAAGGAAAAGAGAGTAAGGAGAAGTGTCCTCGAGGAGGGGTGAGGACTAGCGGTAAATAGGAGGTAGGAAGGGGGTTGAATAGAGTAAGGTGGGGTAAGGAGGAAGGATACGGGAGTGCTACTGGAGGTATTGGGGGGATATATGATTTATTTACCACCGAGATGGGTTAACAGCAGATTTAGCATAAAACAATGTGTTGATCAGTGTGTATGATGTATCCACCATCCTCTTTTACTTTCCGCAACACTGCACCCAACCGGTTTTATCAGTTTCACCAGTTTTTTTTTCTGACATACAACCGTCCGACCAGGTGCACATAATGTGGAGGGTGGAGGTATGCCGGGTATAGCACCAGCTTTGATATGCTTCACACTATCTTTGCTCTGTACCCCCTGGCTCTGTGCCCGTGTCACCCCCTGCTGCTCCCATGTTCCAATGTACTCATGCAATGCACCAATGGCTGCATTCTCCTATCCCCTATGCCCCCTCCTATCCCCTATGCCCCCTCCTATCCCCTATGCCCCCTCGTATCCCCTATGCCCCCTCCTGTCCCCTATGCCCCCTCCTATCCCCTATGCCCCCTCCTATCCCCTATGCCCCCTCCTATCCCCTATGCCCCCTCCATCCCCCCCATGCTTCCATCCCCCACCACCCAGCAGGTGTACGTATGGGTGGGCTCAAAACCACATCCCCATGGCAACGTCTTTTCACACGCCTCAAGAGCCCTCGTGCTCCCACTCACTCACCCATACACCCAGCCCCCATGCTCCCATGCCCCCATCCCCCAGCAGGTGTACGTGTGGGTGGGACTCAACACCGCATCCCATGGCACATCTCTTGAGACTTCTCAAGTGCCCTCGTGGGTATGTGCTATGTGCTCCCGTATGCCCACCCACCCCCCATGCACGCATGCCCCCACCCCCCAGCAGGTGTACGTGTGGGTGGGACTCAACACCGCATCCCATGGCAACGTGTACACCGCAATCCCCACCAGATTCGTACGTGCACAGCACACACCGCAATCCCCGTGCATCCGTCTGACGAGGAGCATGTAGGCACGTAACTGGGTGGAGAAAGACGCTGGGGGCATTCAGCGTCCTGCGTCTGGACGCTGCGTCCGGACGCAAAGACGCAGGACGCACGTCCGGACGCAGGACGCAGGGCGATTTTTTTTTCGGGCAGACCGGATTTTTTTTTTCGCCAAAAATCGACCCCCCCAACCAATTTCGACCACCAAAACCAGCCATCCCACCCCTTTGTAAACCCCCTAATGAAAATTTGAATTGAAAATCCAACCCCTCTCCGCCACTCCACATCTAGAAAACCCAACCATTGTGGCTCACCACCACCACAAAGCCCATTTAGTGCATGAAACCTCTCATTTGTGCTCACTCTTCTCACAACCCAATTCTCCTTCAACCCATTGTGCATGAAGTTTTATCCTTTGGGAGAAATTTTGCAATGAAAGTGTGCTACGGTCCCCCCCCCCCGACTTCCCTCTGCCCTATAACTTTTTTGGGCTGCCCGGGGTGTTTTTTTGCCTGCCCGGACCTGCGTCTTTTGCTGCGTCTCAAAGGCCAGAAACTAGCGTCCTGCGTCTGGACGCATGCGTCCAGGACGCAGGACGCGTCTTTCTCCACCCAGGCACGTGAGTAGAACGAACGAAGAGGATGTGTGCTTACATCCTCCGCCTGGATGTCTAGTTTTGAGGCGCCTCAAAAGTAGAACGAACGAAGAGGATGTGTGCCTGGATGCTTACATCCCCCCCCTGGATGTAGGCACGCCTGGGTGGCACTGGCACACCTCCTCCTCCTCCTCGTCCGCCTACATCCGTCCAGGTGTGCTTTCGATTCGGCCCCATCTGCTTCGACGCAAAACCCACCTTTGATTTGAGGCGCCATGTAAATCCATGTAATCAGAAGCGCCAGGCACAAACATGCCTCGCCGTGCGGTCTCTTTTTTTCATTGTTACCCCTTTTGTTTGTACTGTATTATTTGGCACGTCTTGAGACGTCTCGAAACCAAATTCCTGGGTCTGTCTGCACCAGCTTGTCATCTCTCCCATCTCTTTCCATCCCTCTCCACCCCGTTAACTTGTTGTGCTCATTTACTGGCTTTCCCTTCAAGAAACTCTTCATCTCCCTCGGTACCCATCCACATCCATCCATACCTTTCTGCACCTCTCCATACATCCGTACCTCTCCGTACCTCTCCATAGCCCATCATACTCTGTCCTATGTGTCTATGTGCCATCCATCCAACGTTCCTTCTCCCTTGACAATCTACATCTCTCTCACTTTCTCTCTCTCGTTCTCTCCATCTCTCCGCATACTCCCTCAATGAGCTTCCCTCTCGTCCACATTCTCTACTCCCCCCACCTCCTAACTCCCGACATTCAACCCCCCACCTCATATCATCCCACCACCTATCCCCGCACTTCGCATACCCCCACTTCGCCCACGCGCCCAACATCCCTCACACCTTCCTGCCCACCCCACACTCCCTTATTCACGAGCCCTCTCAGGACCCCATGCCGCTCGTCACGCCTCTGATTGGTGGAGGTGCGGAGGGTGCTTCTGCAACCATGGCGGCCAGATTAAGTGAGAGCAGATCAGATCAGATCAGATCAGATCAGATCAGAGCATATCTGATTCATTCTTGGGTCGAATGTTGAGTCTTTCCAAATCTCAAAACGTGGGTCCTCTCAAAACCCAAACCTTGAGGCGTCTCCAAAAACCCGGAATTGAGATGTCTCAACACCCTCCAACTTTGATTCTGGACCTTTCTTAAGCCAGGCGGCCTTGGTATGTTCTTAATTGATCTACTAAGTCTGATATAGGTTTTTGTTGTGATATTTGAATTCAAAGTGACCGTATCTCGCCTCCCCTGTCTCCCTTCCCCGTTCTTCCCCAGCTTCTTGCGCCTCACTCTCCCCGCCCCCCTCTCTCTTCCGCATTACTCTCCCTGTCGCTTCTCTCCCTCTGTTCCTCTCTGCCACTGCAGGCAAGCGGTTGGGATGTGCAGTTATCTTGGCTTCCAACATCCCACCCAATGCACCCATGACAGAGGTAAGTGATCATGGTGGAATAGTTGGTCAATTGTTGGGGAACACCAGGGGAATACTTGTGGAAAATCTGGGTAAGGTTTGGGGAATACCTGGAAACTATCTGGAAGTATGTGGAGAGAACTTGGTGATTACCTAGGGAATATTTGGAATATCCATGGGAATTACATGAGCATGGGAAATACCTGGGACTATTAGGGATGGTTCAGGTGGACAGTGGGCAATGATATGGACGCGCATCTGATGTGATTTGATTTGGTTCTGTCTAAGCTTATTCTGTAGGTTGCTTTGGTAAGAAATGTGATGGAGGACACAAGATGGGTGAATGTGAGATGCCGATCATTATACCACCCATGGGATGCATGTTACACGTTGCTTTATGGTTTTACTGTTGCTCTATATCCACATTGGTGTCTTTACTCCTGCGCATTAGCAACATATCATTTCAAATGTACACTTCCGTTCTGACTCACATCCTCCGATCCCCCTTGTCCCCATCACCCCACAGGCAACAGCAGAGCGATTGCTGATTAAACGTCTTCCAATGCTCCTAGCCGAGCAAAGCAACACCTGACTGACTGACTTGTACCCAACTAAATACTGTGCTGAAACTTGGCCCCTCCCATTCATCATTTTTTCACGAGTACAAAACAAGGACACTTTGAATCGAAACAACTTCAAACAAACCAAAAACACATGCTTCACATTGAGACTTGAGGGGGGTGTTGCACTACATCCCACATACCAGTATGGTAAGGTATTTGGGGTTTCCTCGAAGTGCCCAGCCCAGTCTCCCTCCCCCTATCTATCTAAGGCCTGCCCAAATTAACTACGGTAATAATGTGCAGAATATGCAGACTATGGAATGGAATCTACCCTGTGAGGTCAGTACCGTATCTATTCTCAATGCGCTCTGGAATAGCCCAGTGCCAGTACAGAAGGTGACTGAAACGAGTGTGCACTGCGCACCATCTGAATAACGAGATATAAGAATTGAAAGAAGTTGGAGGTTGGCCTGTCTCCTGACCTTCAGATCCTAACCAGCATCCGTAGGAATTTGTACGGTATCACAAGGATCTGCATCACAAGGACGGTGGTGGTTTAGAGAATCCAGGCTGAGACTCACAGCAGATCCCCGCACCACTTAGGCACCAGTAAGTGTCAAGGTCTCCTGCTGCACCCAGATTCTTTCCCAGCAGCAGCTGCAGCAGCCAATCAGCCCATCCCCTGGCTTGTCATTTCTGAATCTAAACGCTGCACCCCCTTCTACCCCCAGCGAGCATGGTTCTGTTCTGACTGACAAAACGCCGCATGTTAAATGAATGGCCAACAGAGTTACAGTGGCCTTTCCTAAGTCTAGCACACGAGGGATGGATAAGACAAGCAGCAGCATGGCTTGAGTTGAGACCTACAGAAAAGAAACGTTTGCCTACAAGACCCAGAATGGTTTCATTCTTATGCTAAACGTACCAACCGTATACGGTACCGTATGTGGATGCTACAATACCATCATCCGCTCCTGATACCAACTGAATCCTAGTGCACTGACCCAGATCTGTCATTTCATTCTCTTATTCTCACTGCATCCTTCCCTCCCACCATTCCACACCACGTAGCCAAGAATGCACCATCCTCTATGACCCACCACGCACCACCGTGCTCCACCGTGCTTAGCACCATCCTAGCACCGAATGCCGCACTCCTCAGCAGTAGGCCCAGTCGCCGGCGCACCCCACGGGTTGATATCCGCCCAGAGCAGCGAAAACACCGAGGCGAGCAGAATCGACCACACAATAACCAGCGTCGGCACGCGTTTGTTCTTCCCGCTCATACCCTTCAAAAACGGGTAAAGATGCAGAATCACCCAGAGCGAAAAGAAAATCTTGCCGAACATGGTCCCCCAGCCGACCGTTCCCATATTCATCGCTTGCGCGAGCCCCGAGATAATCCCAAGGACGTTGATAATGATGAGGAACATGGGGGGAATCAGCAGCGTTGTCCATTTCACCATGTACAGCTCAGCAAACTCCCCGTCATCCGCTTGTTTCGCCGTGACCGTGAAATTCGTGTCGATGCCAGCTAGCACTTTCAGAAGGCCCTGGAACACCGCGAATAGATGCGCCGACACGCCACCAATGACCCAAAACTGCTCGTTTCGCCACAGCTCCGTGAGACCCACCCCGCTCCACCTCAGCTCCAGCACGTACGTCGCGATAATAGCCGCGAAAAGCCCGACGAAATACAGCGTCGCCGTGACGGTCAGCCCGGGAATGATGAATTTCCCCGTAAACAGACAAATCGCAGGAAGCATGCAGTACGCGAGCAGCGGGAACGACGTAAACGGGTACACCGCCGTGTTCGCATACGCCAGCCGTTGCAGCACCTTGAGGCGGTTTGCCTTCCAGCCGTACCAGATGGGGCAATGCCGGGAGAGGAAGATTTCAATGGAACCCAGAGCCCAACGCAACACCTGCAACAGAACGGGCGGCAAACAGGAGGGTCAGCGCAGAAGAAAAGATTACGAGGATGGGGATAATGGGGTGGAGAGGCGCGGAATGAGTGTTTGAGGGGGTTGGATCGGGACTTTGCGGGTGGGGGAGGATACATGGTGGGGGAACTAAGGGTGGGGGGAACGCATGGCATCCTTGGGAAGGCATGGATCACCAACACAGAAGCAGAGACCAGCACAAACGTACACTCCCCCCCCGCCTCCTCCGGTCTCTTCCCCGCCTCCTCCGCCCTCTCCCCACGACCTTACACCGGCTTTCCCCACCTTTTGCCGGCCTTCCCCGCCCCCACCCCCCGCCTATCCCCGCCACCCACCTGCTGAAGACGGTCGGACAGATTGATGGGCGCAGACCCCTTGAACGCCACCCGCTTGGGCTGGCAGTAGATGGATCGCCACCCGCGGCACTGCATCTTAAAACCCGTGAGAATATCCTCTGTCACCGACCCGTAGATCCACCCGATCTGCACCGGGATATGCGGGGGACGGGAGGAAAGGAGAGACGGTTAGAGGAGAAACATGAGATTAGATTCCGTACGGGGAAAGGAGAAAGGACAGGTTGGAAGCTTGGACGGGCGGAGAGGGTAGGTGAAATGCGGCTATGGAACATAATAACATCCAAATGAGCAATCAGCAGCATACAACAAGGTAAAGGGGCGGAGGTCCGTGCGTCACAACAGGGAAGACTTTGTCACAAGCCGAGAGTCCGTGCTCACCTCCTTGCCCCAGTCCGTGCCCTCCTCATAACCGCACGAGATGACGTGGATCGCCTCCTTGAGCGTCGATCCCGGGCCCGTGAACGCCACGCCGCCGCCCTCCTCGTGGAACGTGGACAGCACGAACACGGGCGACGCGCCGAACCGCTTCTCGAACTTCTTCAGAGCCATCAGGCTTCCCTTCTCGTCCTCCTCCGTCATGCCTGGAGGGCGGGTGTAGGGTGTGGGAGGGGAAGAGGAGCGACGGGGGTGAGGGGTGGATGGGTGCGAATGTTTTTCTTTTTTTTTCTCTTAGGTAAGTGAAGTTTCTGGGTGAAACGGAACAAGAACTTGGGTTCTGTCTGTGAGAACGGGAATCGAGGGACGGGAGCTTCGCAGTGTCCTCACTCACACAATCATCTTTCTTACCTTCCACGTCGTCTATTCCCATGCCCATCGCGTTCATCGCCATCGCCGCAGCCTCCTCCCTCCCCTCCGCAATCCGCTCCATCCGCCCGCTTTTCCCCTTCCCCTTGCGCCCCTTCACCTTCCCCTTGCTCTTCCCGTCACTCAGCCCTCCTCCTTCCGCCAGCGCCTGCAGCTCCGCGGACTTCTTCTGCTTGCGCCCGCCGCAGCCCCCGCAGCAGAAAATACAGTGGCAGAGCCAGCAGATCCCGTTGCTCGACTTCTTCTCCTTCTTGGGCGGATCGAATCCGTACAGCGCGTGCCGCCGGAAACAACAACCAGTACCGACGTATACGGGCCCTTGCACTCCGTCCAGCCCGGGCAAGTTAATCTGGACCAGTCAAGGGCGGAACAGGGGAGGCGAAGTGAGGGCAGGAATAGACGACAGCGAGCGCGCGACATGGAAGGGACGACGGGAGTCGCGAGTGGGTACAGGAAACTATGGCATGGTATGCCCGAAAATCAAGTAGAGGGAAAGAATAGGAAGGAAAACAGGAAAGAAAGTGCGCATGTTATTGTAACATGTAACACACTCACGTCGAAGAACACGGTGTTGTTGTTGGCGTATCGATCGCTGGGGTCGATGCCGTCGAACCGCTGCGGGAACTGCACGTAGCACGCCCGTTTCCCCACGTTCGGGTCCATCATGAAGCACATCGCCTCCCGGAGCGCGCGCGAGTTGTTGATGTAATGATCGCAATCCAGATTCAGAATGTACGGCGCGTTCGTCAGCACCGCCGCGACGCGCACTAGCGAGTTCATGGCTCCAGCCTTCTTGTGGTGATTATACCCGGGCCGCTTCTCACGCGACACGTACACGAGCCGCGGCAACGGCATTCCGTCCGAGCCCGCGCCGCCGTTAGGACCAAGGAACACCTGGATCATGCCGGGATGGTCGCGGGATTTATTTCCGGGCCACGGCGTGCCGTCCTGCATCGTCCACCCGTCGGCCGGCACGTTCTGGAAACGCGCGCAGAGCGCGTTGATGCGCACTTTAAACTCCTCGTACTGCCGCTTCACGGAGCGACGCTCCAGCACGAACGCCGTGTCGAGCTTGTCTTTCAGAAAGTCAACCTTCTGGATGAAATAAACGTCGGGCGCGCGCGGCTCGATGTTGTACTTCTTGCAAAACGGCACCCAGATGCGCGCGAATTCCGCCGTCTCGCCCATCATGTCGAACGTCAGCATGGAGCCGCCATCGTCGGATAAGTAGCACGCGACCTTGTCGACCGGATAATCGACGGCCAGGATCGACAGCAGCGTGTTCGCCGTCGTCAGCGGCGGCTCCTTCATGGGATCCACCGTCGATACGAACAGATCGACGGGTGCGAGCTGCGAGTCTTCGTTGGGCTTCTCGAATCGCAGCGACAGACGATCCATGTACGTTTCTCGCCGAATCGGGTTCCATTTCGGAAACTGATCCAGAATCCAGGAGAAGAAGAACCAGACCTCGCAGATGATCGACACGAGCCAGAGCCCGTACGCGTCCCACACGGGGTTGATGATACGCCAGCGCAAGAAGAGGATGGTGATGACGAAGCGCATCACGATGACGAGGCGGTACGGCGAGATTAACTCCGACTTGAGGTGGATCTTGCGGGAGAGCGGCTGGCGCGCTTCGTCCATGCTGAACGCGAGGAGGGAAAAAAAGTGAAGGAGGGAGGGAAGGAAGGAGGAATGGAGAGACGGGGTTATAGCGAGACGATGGTTAGGGCTCGGCTACGAAAGTCGAAGGGAAGCACCACGGCGCAGGCCACATCACACAACAACGAACATGCCTGCCTACCGCTCATCTCACGCGAACATCTTACAGAGACATCACACTCACGTGGGCAGATCGCCGTCCTGGTCTTGCGTGGGCGACCCGTCTGCGCCCATGCCGCCGTACGCGTAGTTCCCCGCGGCCCCACCCGCGCCTGCCTCCATGCCGTCGGCGGAAGCCACGGTGCGACCCTTCCACACGACGCTGCCGTAACCATACTCCGTCGGGTCCTTCTTCGGGTCCAGCGCGCGCACGGCGGGGGTTTCGGAGCCTGAAACAGGCGGAAACGGCGCAGGGGGACAGGACAAGGGGAGGGGGAAGCCAGGGCGTGCGGGGGGAAATGTGCGAAGGGAATGAGACAGCGAGAAAACGGAACACAGCTGTTTTAACAACGAATAGCAGAACACGTCTTTGAACTTCATTTTGGATGTCGCTCACTCACTGTTACGCCGAATCTCTCCTACCTGATTGCGCGAGCCACTCGTTCTGCGCTTGACTGACGGAGTTTCCGAACGTGCCGAAGCCCGGTCCGCTAGGCACGATGGCGTTGCGCGGCCCGACCTGCGGCGACGTCGACCCCACGGGCATGCCGAGGTGCTCGTTATAGTCACTCGCCGAGTCGTTGTCCATCTGCGACCTCCGATACGCGGAGTTCTCGTGAATCGGCGACGCGCCGTATCCGAGGTTCTGCGCGTCGTCCATGGACGGCTGCGATTGATGCAGCGTCCCTGCTGCCGCCGGCGGAGGGCTAGGATCGCTCTGGTACAGCGACGAGCGGTACCGCCAGTCCGCTGGTTGTTCATCTCCTCCTTCCTCCTCGTCCTCTTCATCGTCCGCGTCGATCCTCGGGCTGCCCTTGAGGCGTTTGTAGAAGGTCTTGCAGTTGGGACACGCTTTGCCGCCCTCCTTGCGCTCGTATTCGTAGCATGGCCGGCAGACGGGGTAGTTGCAGTGGCCGCACGCGATGAATGGCTCTCCGTCGACGGCCACGCCGACGGAATCGCCGCAGATCTGACAGACGGAGGTCATGTTGACAGACGGCTGAGGTTGGACGGTTTTGGTTCCTAGCGTTGCGGAATATACCGCCGAGGTGGCGGCTTGGGAGTGGTATAACTACGTGAGAAATACCGGCTATGTGCCGGCTTTCGCGACTGAATTCGGGGTCCTAGCTAAGTTAAGCCATCTCTAAAAGGGTTTCTTATTCAGGCCTAAATTTCCCTTCCCGAGTCACCGTTGTCATTGTGAGCCTGGCCAAGAAGCCGCAATCACTAGACGCAAAATTCGTTTGAACCAGGAGAAGTAGGATGAGAATCTAGAGCAGACGTAAGTCTGTAGAAGGTGCTGTGTTGGGCGAAGGGAAATATTGAGATGACAGCACAGCCGCACAAATCAGAGACAGTAGATGAGAAGGGAGAGCTTTTTGGATGGCTCACTCTCTCTCGAACCTGACTGTTACAGGGGAAGGAAAAGCAGCAGAGAGGGATTTCCCAAGGCGGGGTTGAACGGGAGGGGCGAGCAGGCAGGTCGCGCAAGAGGTGCTGCAGCGCGAAGGCCGCGCTTCCGCACTGGAAAATGACGTTTCCTGCGACTCGGAAAATTCGAGCTTGGCCATGCGTCAGGAGGATTTGTATTGGGTGATCTTCGTGCGACTTGCGTATTGCGCTGTGTGCGATGATGTGAGCCAGTGTACGATCAGTCTAGGGTGAACAAGGTGAACAGTGTCGGATGTTCTGCTGCCAGAGATGGGATTCAAGCACTGCACGGTCTGCTGCCAGAAGAAAGCTTCTGTGGCGTTTGACCCTTTGTTTCGGCCCGTTTTCTTGGCCGTACTTGCCAGCCTCAAGCCGCGGTCACCCAAACTCAGCTCCTCACATTCTGTGCGACGCGATGCTTCCGTCGATCATCACGCGAAGAACGGCGACGATTGGGCGACCATTGACTCACCGTACCGAGCCGACTTTCAGATGTTGCCAGCCAGCTCTGACCAGCCGAACAGGTTAGGCTCGTGTTTGCCAACAGTTCCGAGCCTCAGAAGTCCAGCTTCGTCTCGAACCAACAAAGCGAAACAGCTAGGTATGGAAATGTCAAGCAGGGTTGCAAGGCTAGAATTTATGGCGCGAACAGCTAGGTCTGGTTTTGGCTTCACCAAATTTCGCCAGTCGCTGCGCTTGTGTTCTGTGCGGTGGTGGGTGTGACCACTGACCACCCTCCCGCCAAAGCGAGCAGGTGGTCGCGGGATGGGACTGAGGACCCTCACATAGGAAACTTGTACACTTTGAATAGTTAACTATTCATACAGGTAAGCTCATAGCAATCTATTTCCACATACCACACTTTCATGTTCAATAATCCATATGGTTAAAGGTTGGAGGGGGTGAACCTGAGCTTGTATTAACTTTCTTTATGTTCTGCAGAATATCTATAAATTATGTGCGTACAATTTACATTGAACAGTTCGTACAATATAGCACAGGAGAATCAGCACAGCATCACTCCTTCACCACCCAGGCACACTTGAAAACAATCAAATCCATGCAAATCCTGAAGCTCGTTTTGCAAGCCCCTCACTGTATTGTCTTCTGTTCCTGAAACAATTATTGCCGAGCAAAGGCAACAGGTGAGTCATCAAAGCGTGACGTGTTAATCCATGAATGGTAAAACAGGGATTCGGCATAGCCTTGATGCAGGACATAACATGCTCAACAATGTGCAGGAGATCGAGGACAATGCTCCGACACATAATTTTTTGGCAAGCATAAAGAAACCCACCAAAGGCAGCATGCCCTCATAGGTGCATGACACAGATATGCACACGTGCACTTGTTACATTCCCACGCACCTCTTTTTTTCCGAGCACACTCACACGAATACACTCACTCAAACTGAATCAAACACCAACACTCACACCCCCCAACACACGAACCTGGTGGTAGCAGCGTGATCACACACCCGCCTCCCCCGGCCCCTGTGAGCTTGGAGCACAGCCCATAGCGCGCTGATGCCATGCACACAGTGTCAATGCTGCCATGGCTCACTCCCAGAGCGCTCAGCAGGCCCTGATTCATGCTCACGAGCGTGCACAGGGACGCATAGACAGCACCGGAGGGGTCCGCTGCTGCTGCTGCTGCTGCTTCTCCTTCTTTTTCTTCTTCTTTTGATTCTCTTGCTTGCACTGCATATAGAACTGCTGTTGCGGCTGCTGCTGCGGCTGCTGCTGCCACTGGTTCTTCCGGTGCTGCATTGTTCGCCATGGACTCAGTACCGGCAGCTGCTGCTGCTAACTGTGCCACTGCTCCTGCACCGTTGGCATTTGCCTCTCTGGTGCGGCTGGCACTCGCTGCTCTTGATTCGGATCCCTGCTGCTGCTGCTGCTGCTGTAGCAGCTGGGAGGCCTGCTCAGCAACGTGGTGCAGAGCGAGGCAGTAAAGGGCAGGGCAGGGCAGGGCAGGGCGGGTGTAACGCACAGTGACCATCAGCATTTATGTCCCAAGCAGCCTGGCTCACGGAATAAAGGCACGCTTATTCCTGTTCTGACAGATGTCGGCACATTGCTAATACAGATAGGCATATAATCTTCTACGCTCACCAGAAGCACAATGCGGTGCATGGCATGGCATGGCATGGCATGGCATGCAGTATGAAGTGCAAGACATGCCATGTAACCTTCTGCCCTCACCTGATGGGCCACATGGTGCATGGCATGCAGCATAGTCGCCAGACTGCCAGCATGCGCTGCGAGACAGGCAGCCGCTGCATGGTGCTCCCTCGTTGTTTCAATTCAACCAAGACACAAAAATCTTCACAACAATCCAAGATGATCCTCACGACAATCCAAGATGATCCTCACGACAATCCAAGATGATCCTCACGACAATCCAAGATGATCCTCACGACAATCCAAGATGATCCTCACGACAATCCAAGATGATCCTCACGACAATCCAAGATGATCCTCGCAAAGTTCTTCTCTTTAGCTGACTGAGACTATAGCTGAGTGAGAGGCTTTACAGGCTCTGATCTGATGTGATCCTTCTGCTGAAAGAAATCCACCTTGCTGCTCTTCCCCAACAAGTGAGAGGGAGGAGGAGCCCTGGTAAACCCACACTCATGTAAACCCACACTCATGTAAACCCACACTCATGTAAAGCTCTGCTCTCCTGCAGGGCCACATGGTGCATGGCTTGCAGCACGGCTGCCACATGCACATGCCATGTACCATGCACATGCCATGTACCATGCACATGCCATGTACCATGCACATGCCATGTACCATGCACATGCCATGTACCATGCACATGCCTTGTGTGAATCTGTGGTACACGGCAGCAAGCGTGTAGTCTTCCATGCTCACCTGATGGGCCACATGGTGCATGGCTTGCAGCACGGCTGCCACTCTGTCGGCATGTGCTGCGAGACACGTAGCCACTGCATGGTGTTCCCTTGTTGTTTCAGTCTCAACCGACACACCAACTCCCTGAGGACCCCTGGCCTGAGTCCTCATGCTCCTGGAACGCTCACCTGCAGGGCCACATGGTGCATGGCTTGCAGCGCGGCTGTCACACTGTCGGCATGCGCTGCCAGGCGCGCACCCACTCCTGACACGAGCGCGCGCGTGCTGCGAGGGACTCGCGTGTTGGTGAGCATCAGGGAGAGCGGCAGAGCACAGGGGATGGGGTGCGCCTTGCCCTGCTGGAAGGACGTTATGCCGCCTGAGGGGGTGGCGAGGGGGGAAAGGGTGTGGAGGGTGGGGAGGGGGGTTTTAAGGCCGTAGCAAGCAGGGCCTGAGCACTGCCATGGAGGGAATGGACCGAACACTGCTCTGCTGGAAAGACGTTACACTGCCTGAGAGGGTGGCGCGGAGGGGGGAGGGTGGGGAGGGTGGGGAGGGTGACGAGGGAGAGGGAGGAAGGGTGAGAGGGAGGGAGGGTGAGAGGGAGGGAGGGTGAGAGGGAGGGAGGGTGAGAGGGAGGGAGGGTGAGAGGGGGGAGGGTGAGAGGGGGGAGATTGAGATGGGGGAAGGGTGAGCAGCGTGGTTTTAGTGCCATGCATATACGCTCCACACCACACGAAACCACAGCACACCGCACCAAACCACAGCAGCACGAGCACCAATCGCAAGGTATGTTCAGGCGCATCACAGCCCGGTGGCAGCTGAGCACAGTGCGATTCGCAATGGCATGCCAGCACCCCCCCACTCACCCTCGCAGCACCCCCCCACTCACCCTCGCAGCACCCCCCCACTCACCCTCGCAGCACCCCCCCACTCACCCTCGCAGCACCCCCCCACTCACCCTCACAGCACCCCCCCCACTCACCCTCGCAGCACCCCCCCACTCACCCTCGCAGCACCCCCCCACTCACCCTCGCAGCACCCCCCCACTCACCCTCGCAGCACCCCCCCACTCACCCTCGCAGCACCCCCCCACTCACCCTCGCAGCACCCCCCCACTCACCCTCGCAGCACCCTCCCACTCACCCTCGCAGCACCCTCCCACTCACCCTCGCAGCACCCTCCCACTCACCCTCGCAGCACCCTCCCACTCACCCTCGCAGCACCCTCCCACTCACCCTCGCAGCACCCTCCCACTCACCCTCGCAGCACCCTCCCACTCACCCTCGCAGCACCCTCCCACTCACCCTCGCAGCACCCTCCCACTCACCCTCGCAGCACCCTCCCACTCACCCTCGCAGCACCCTCCCACTCACCCTCGCAGCACCCTCCCACTCACCCTCGCAGCACCCTCCCACTCACCCTCGCAGCACCCTCCCACTCACCCTCGCAGCACCCTCCCACTCACCCTCGCAGCACCCTCCCACTCACCCTCGCAGCACCCTCCCACTCACCCTCGCAGCACCCTCCCACTCACCCTCGCAGCACCCTCCCACTCACCCTCGCAGCACCCTCCCACTCACCCTCGCAGCACCCTCCCACTCACCCTCGCAGCACCCTCCCACTCACCCTCGCAGCACCCTCCCACTCACCCTCGCAGCACCCTCCCACTCACCCTCGCAGCACCCTCCCACTCACCCTCGCAGCACCCTCCCACTCACCCTCGCAGCACCCCCCCACTCACCCTCGCAGCACCCCCCCACTCACCCTCGCAGCACCCCCCACTCACCCTCGCAGCACCCCCCCACTCACCCTCGCAGCACCCTCCCACTCACCCTCGCAGCACCCTCCCACTCACCCTCGCAGCACCCTCCCACTCACCCTCGCAGCACCCTCCCACTCACCCTCGCAGCACCCTCCCACTCACCCTCGCAGCACCCTCCCACTCACCCTCGCAGCACCCTCCCACTCACCCTCGCAGCACCCTCCCACTCACCCTCGCAGCACCCTCCCACTCACCCTCGCAGCACAGCACCCTCCCACTCACCCTCGCAGCACCCTCCCACTCACCCTCGCAGCACCCTCCCACTCACCCTCGCAGCACCCTCCCACTCACCCTCGCAGCACCCTCCCACTCACCCTCGCAGCACCCTCCCACTCACCCTCGCAGCACCCTCCCACTCACCCTCGCAGCACCCTCCCACTCACCCTCGCAGCACCCTCCCACTCACCCTCGCAGCACCCTCCCACTCACCCTCGCAGCACCCTCCCACTCACCCTCGCAGCACCCTCCCACTCACCCTCGCAGCACCCTCCCACTCACCCTCGCAGCACCCTCCCACTCACCCTCGCAGCACCCTCCCACTCACCCTCGCAGCACCCTCCCACTCACCCTCGCAGCACCCTCCCACTCACCCTCGCAGCACCCTCCCACTCACCCTCGCAGCACCCTCCCACTCACCCTCGCAGCACCCTCCCACTCACCCTCGCAGCACCCTCCCACTCACCCTCGCAGCACCCTCCCACTCACCCTCGCAGCACCCTCCCACTCACCCTCGCAGCACCCTCCCACTCACCCTCGCAGCACCCTCCCACTCACCCTCGCAGCACCCTCCCACTCACCCTCGCAGCACCCTCCCACTCACCCTCGCAGCACCCTCCCACTCACCCTCGCAGCACCCTCCCACTCACCCTCGCAGCACCCTCCCACTCACCCTCGCAGCACCCTCCCACTCACCCTCGCAGCACCCTCCCACTCACCCTCGCAGCACCCTCCCACTCACCCTCGCAGCACCCTCCCACTCACCCTCGCAGCACCCTCCCACTCACCCTCGCAGCACCCTCCCACTCACCCTCGCAGCACCCTCCCACTCACCCTCGCAGCACCCTCCCACTCACCCTCGCAGCACCCTCCCACTCACCCTCGCAGCACCCTCCCACTCACCCTCGCAGCACCCTCCCACTCACCCTCGCAGCACCCTCCCACTCACCCTCGCAGCACCCTCCCACTCACCCTCGCAGCACCCTCCCACTCACCCTCGCAGCACCCTCCCACTCACCCTCGCAGCACCCCCCCACTCACCCTCGCAGCACCCCCCCACTCACCCTCGCAGCACCCCCCCACTCACCCTCGCAGCACCCCCCCACTCACCCTCGCAGCACCCTCCCACTCACCCTCGCAGCACCCTCCCACTCACCCTCGCAGCACCCTCCCACTCACCCTCGCAGCACCCTCCCACTCACCCTCGCAGCACCCTCCCACTCACCCTCGCAGCACCCTCCCACTCACCCTCGCAGCACCCTCCCACTCACCCTCGCAGCACCCTCCCACTCACCCTCGCAGCACCCTCCCACTCACCCTCGCACATGCGGTTGTCCACGCCCACCCACTCACCACCCACTCACCACCCACGTTTAGGCGCCATGGAGAGGAGTGCCGTGCCATCCATCAAGGCTCCACACCACACCACACCACACCACACCACACCACACCACACCACACCGCACCGCACCGCACCAGACCAGACCAGCACCAGTCGCTGGCCCACTCAAGCACATCACAACCAGGTGGCAGCTCATCTCGGCATATCCACAACTCACCATGGCAGCACATATGGTTGTCCACGCCTGACGCCTTCCCATGGATGATCTGCTCCGCCCAACCTCTCACCACCCGCTTCCCCTGCTGGTGACTTTTGAGTCAACTCAAACGTCTCCCACTCACCATGGCAGCACACATGGTTGTCCACGCCAGATGCCTTCCCATGAATGATCTGCTCCGCCTCATACGCCCACCCGCTCACCACCCGCTTCCCCTCCTCCCCCACCTCTGCCGGTTCCCTCCCGCCCGCCCCCCTGCCCGCTGACTGCTGCTCTACCGAAGGTGAGCGTGCGGAGGGTGGTTGTAACGAGGATGATGGTAACGAGGGTGACTGTAGCGAGGGCGTGGGTGTGATGGAGCCAGCAGCAGAGAGCATGGCGGCGGCCAGGGCGGTGGAGAAGGCAGCAGACGAGCCGAGACCCGCGCCGGGAGGGATGTCGGATGTGACTGTAACGAGGGCGGGCTGGAGCCTGCAGGGGGTGAGGGGAATTTGAGAGGAGGAGGGAGAGGAGGAGGGCAAAGATAAAGAGGAGGAGAATGATAGGGGAAGGCGGAGAGGTTCTATCCATTACGAAATAGCCAATGCAACGACGACACTATCTATCTATCACGACAGCGCCTGTGCGTTCCTGCACCTGCAATTTTTTTAGTTTGAGATGCCCTTGAGACGGCCTTTTGAGTTGCCTCAAAGCTCCTGTGCCAGCCTCCCTCCGACACAGACACTGCTGATTCACCCGCCCAGTTGCATTGCACCCCACGCACCTCCCCAACCCACCCACCCACCAATCCACGCACCCAACGATTCGCGACAGCAGGAACAGGAAGGCTTGTACGCCAGCGCGCTCGGACGGTCCTCCTAGCGACGCGACGCCGTCTCCCGCGTCTAGGAGCTCCTCGAACGCGGCATGGTGCTCCTCCGGTAGACTGGAAGGTGAAAGCGGGGTGGGCGCGGGGAATGCGGCGGGATGTGCGCGCGCGACGCGGCGGAGGCTCGCGATTGGCCAGCTGATATACGCGTTAGTGGAGGGAGAGGACAGTACGAGGCGATCCGGCTCGGCCTGCGGCGATGGCTGTTGCGGCAGCCATTTCGGCGGGTCTTGCTGCGGGTCTTGCGGCGGGATTCCCGGCGGCTGTTGCAGGAGATTCGGGGACGGACTGAGCTGCTGTAGCGACTCGGAACCTGAAGGAAGGTCTAATGTTCTGATAGGTTCCCTTTCAGAGAGGTTTGATTTTAAGAGGTCGAGTCGCACGTTCGTCCGAAGGCTGATGCTCCCCGCGACGCACATCTTGCCGTGAACCACGGAGTGCTCGCCGAATAAGATCACCTTCCCAGGCGCCGACGCCGCGAATCGTGCCCATAGCTCGACTGGTGCCGTTCGTGCCTCCGCCCGCGCCTCCGCCTCCGCCCGCGCCTCCGCCTCCGCCTCCGCCGCCGCCGCCGCCGCCGCCGCCGCCGCCGCCGGCTCTGAATGCTCGCGGCCTGTAGCCATGCGAACCGGCTGGTTTGGCCTGTAGTATCTGGCTGCTTTGAGGGACTCCAGGGACTAGGTCTAAGTGATAATGGCCGACTTTTAGACTGCTGGCATTAGCCACGAGGGGGTTGCCGAATCTCGTGAAGTATACCGACGGGGAAATTCTGAGAATTCCTCAAAAACACCCTGCAACGTCACAGGTTGCTGGTGGTTCTGCTGCTGCTGCTGCTGCTGGTTCTGCTGCTGGTGCTGCTGCTGGTGCTGCTGGTGGTCCTGCTGTAACACACGCGGATCGCAAGGTGCGGTGCTCGGGGTGAACAGACGAGGAGAAGCGAGGAAAAAGGATGAGTACAGAAGAAGGCTGCATGGGATGATTTCTGTCTGAAGAAGGCTTGAACGAGGAGGAATAAGTGGTAGCGATGGTATGGTGGCGCATTTGCGACGCGGAATTGACACGACCATCCACTATGCTGCACCGGACACTAGCCCGGGAGGTTTAGTGATATTTAGGTTCTACCAAATAGGTGCTCGCCAACCAATCAAGTTTCGACTTTGTCGCTGCTTGCCTAAGCGGTGAAAGTTTTTTGTAAAAACTGTTCCAATCGACAGACAGACATCCAGACTTCAACCAGGTGAAACAATGAATGACTCTTGCCGTATGGATTCTCTTCAAAAAACACACCTGAGTTCCGAACTATGCGACACGCTTGCGACGGCACGATTTGACGGTGCGTTCTTCGTCGATGTAGGCACCACCGGTCGATGGCCCTTGAAAATCGTCGACAGTCCCCGCTTGTGTGCCAATACGGTGAAATTTGCAATTCGTGTTACAGAAATCCTTCTTTACTGTCTAATTACGAAGATGAAGTTTGCGTTATAAGCAAGACCATATACACCCTCAATGAAGATTCTCAACTCTTTTGGAATTCCCAGTCATCGATTCCCTGAGAATTTGCCACTTCCTGCACTATCAGAGGTAGCAGCAGCAGCAGCAGCAACAGGAGGAGGAGATGTTCGCACTCCCAGCGTTGCCACGTGTCGTGTTTTCAGGCGATGTCGCACGGCATCATAGGCAGAGTGCGCATCACCCGCCCATATGCTCTAATAGCGCGTCCACTGGCGTGACTTTAATCCGCTCGAATGACCTGCTAGCTGGTCAGCAGACCGTCGAGAGGTCGTTTCCCCGGCTACGCCGTCAAGTTAACGGTCAGCCGTCGTCTTCTCGAAACATTGCTCGGCGGGTTACCGGCTCTAGAAGCACGGCTAATCGGCGCGCTGTTGGTAGCGCGATACGCATCGCCAGAACCACTCGAGTCCAGGCTGTCCTGGGAGAGAACGTAAACGAGAATGAGAATGATAACCAGGAGGAGAAGGCAAAGGAGAAGGAGAATGGCAGCAAGAAGCGTCCTAGCAGATTCACCAGCAGCAGCAGCAGCAGCAGCAGCAGCAGCAGCGGAACCACGACGCAGAGCGACGCGACTCCTTGGGCGCTCCAGGTGCTGGTGGGCGCCGCGACCGCCGCTCTCGATTTACTCACACCGCGGGTGAGCGTCGAGGCGAGAGGAGGTTTGGGCGTGGGGATGTATTCACTTCACATCGTGGTTGAGCGTGAGGGCGAGAGGTTGGGAAGAGCGGGCGATACACAGCGGTTGGGACAGATGTTGGTGCGACTTTTGAGAATTCTCAAAGGTGGGACGGATGTTGAGTTGAGGTGGATGGGGATGGCTGGCTTGGCATGGGGTAACAGCCGCAAGGGCTGTGGCTTGGTGACAAGTCTGGATTGGATGTAAGGCTGTCGATCAGTCGCCCTGTCGATGGCTGGAGTGATCACCGTGTCTCCGCTGTGCTGTGCTGTGCTGTGCGGTGCGGTGCTGTGCTGTGCTGTGCTGTGCTGTGCGGTGCTGTGCTGTGCTGTGTGGTGCGGCGCTGTGCTGTGCTGTGCTGTGCTGTGCTGTGCTGTGCTGTGCTGTGCTCCTCTCTGTGTGTGCTGCTCCTTCTGCTCCTGTGCATCTCTTCCTGCTTCTCTTCTTGCTACCTTACTCTCCAGACAGACCCAGTGACCAACCCACAAGCACAAGAACCTAGCAGCAGCAGCAGCAGCACCATTTCAGCCAATGCTGCTACTGCTGCCACTGCTGGAAATGCAGCCATGTGGAGCAGTGAGGCAACCGATGCAGAGGATTGCAGAGGAGTGCTGCGGGAACTAGTCGAGGCGATTCGAGAGGACTACGAGCAGCGAGCGTATTTCGTCACAGGCACGTGCTCTCTGTCAATTCAAGCACTCACGCCCTTTTCAGACGCAATCTCTCTCCCCTGGTCACAAGCACTCACGTGTTTCAAATATCTCCAGACTCCTCTGTTCTCTCCCTCGGTCACCGGCACGCAGTCTCTTCCTTTTAGTTCTTGATACGTCAAAGATTCGTATGCTGTTACGACAGCACCCGCTCGTTCCCTCTGCGCTGCTCTCCCTCATTTGGTCGCTTGCATTTCTTCCCGTCCCGCTCCCTACCCCTTTCCCATTCCCTTCCCCCTTTCCGTCCCCCTCCCCATCCCCATCCCCGTCCCAAGCAGGTGACATCTCTGCACGTGTCTACGACACCGAGTGCTTCTTTGCCGACCCGCTTGCTGTGACTCCGCATACGTTCCTCCCGTGCCCCGTTCGCCCCTTTCCCGCCCCCCGTCCCCACCAGGTGCCATCTCTGCACGTTTCTACGACACCGAGTGCCTCTTTGCCGACCCCACGATTCAGTTCTCGGGCCTGCAGCGCTGGCAACGCAACATTGCGCTGCTCACTCGCTTCTTCTCCTCCCCAACCATCCACCTGCACGACCTGCAGGTGCGCGGGGGGGGAGGAGAGAGCATGATTGCAGGAGTGAGTATGCGTGCATGTGAACTTTAGAGAGAATGATAGTAGGATAATGAGAGAGGGCAGGAAAGAGCAGGAGGAAGTAGGAGGGAGTAGGAGGGAGTAGGAGGGATTAGGAGAGAGTAGGAGTGAGTAGGAATGAGTAGGAGAGAGTAGGAGTGAGTGGGAGAGAGTGGGAGAGAGTGGGAGAGAGTGGGAGAGAGTGGGAGAGAGTAGAGAGGACACCGTTTTTTTACTTGCTGTCCTGTCCTGCCGCTGCAACCCTATTCCTCCACTGGCCCATTATGGTCAGCAATGGTACTGGACCAAACACTATTGCTGGCCCTCCATGCCGCCCACCTTCAAGTCTTTCCTGCAGCACCCTCGTCTGCAGCATGCGTGGATTTGCTTTCAAGAACACTCAAAAGCTGCAACCCTATTCCCCCGTGTGGACCAAACCAAACACCACTCCTTCCTGGACCCCCATGCCCCCCACTCACCTTCAGGTCTTTCCTGCAACGCCCTCGTCTGCAGCACGCCTGGAGACCAGGTGGCGCCTGCTGTAAGCCAAGGGGGGGAGCTGGGAGATAGGGGTGATACATACTAGACTGCTGGACCAGGTGGCGCCTGCTGTAAGCCAAGGGGGGGAGCTGGGAGATAGGGGTGATACATACTAGACTGCTGGACCAGGTGGCGCCTGCTGTAAGGCAAGGGGTGATACATACTAGAATGTGTGGTGTCTGCAGCACGCCTGGAGACCAGGTGGCGCCTGCTGTAAGCTATGGAGGAAGTCTAGGGGATAGGGTTGATGTGGGAACGTGGGGATTGCATGACGATAGAGGCATGGGAGGTGGGCGTGATACAGACAAGCTTCTGTGGGTCAGTATCACTTTGGAGACCAGATGGCGCCTGCTGCAAGCCATGGAGGAAATTGGGAGATAAGGGCGATGTGGGAAATTGGAGGTTTGCATGGCATTTGAGACTTCTTGAGACTGCTGATTCTCAATCGTGATACAGACAAGATTTTGTGGGTCGGCATCACGCCTGGAGACCAGGTGGCGCCTGCTGTACGCAGTGGAGAGAGAAGGAGGGGTGATGTGGGAATGTGGGGGTTGCATAATCCGTGTGCAGTCTCAGGTGTGATACAATGAGACAAGCTGCTCAGGTGTGATCGATCCATCCATCCATCCACCCACTCACCCACCCACCCACCCACCCATCCACCCATCCACCCATCCATCCATCCATCCACCCACCCACCCACCCACTCACCCACCACTTGCATTTTGCAAACACTTTCCCCCTCCCTCCTGGCCCCATCTCCCCCTTCCCCCAACACGACTCCCTCCTCCTCTCTCCCCACCCAGTACGCCCATCAACCTGCCATGGCGGCCGCTGGTGGACATCAGAGGCTCCACAGTGCACACACTCAATGCTGCCGGCACCAAGGTGTGTGCGAGCTGTCAGGACGAAGAGGTGCGGTGCGGTGCGGTGCGGTGTGGTGTGGTGTGACAAGGTGAGCACACAGGATGTCGCCGGCATGGTACCAAGGTGCAGCGAGCTGCTAGTGTGAGTATGAGCAGGGGACAACCGAATGTCTGTTGTTTCCGGCAACAAGCTCTGTGCGTGCTGAGTGGGTGTGTGTGTGAGCTGGGAGGATGTGAATGTGAATGTGTAAACTAACTCGCTGCTGTTCATGTGCTTCAGCAACGGAGATTCAGCCGGGTCTCTCTTCTCAGTCGGGTCTCTCTTTTCAGTCGGGTCTCTCTTTTCAGTTGGGTCTCTCTTTTCAGTCGGGTCTCTCTTTTCATCGGGTCTCTCTTTTCAATCGGGTCTCTCTTTTCATCGGGTCTCTCTTTTCACCAGCGTACAGAGGTTCTTCATTCACTCGACTCTTTGTTTTTGTAGGCCAATCCAATCCACCTGTCATCCGGCTCTGGTCCAATTCCGAGAATCGTTGAAAACGACTCTTCATCCATCTGCCGTGTGCCTGTTCTCCCCCTCTGCAGCTTGTGTCATGGGAAGAGGCATGAGAGGAGTCATGAGTCAACTCAATCACCCTCACTCTCGCCTCTCTTTGACCTCTCCTCCACCTCTCCTCCACCTCTCCTCCACCTCTCCTCCACCTCTCCTCCACCTCTCCTCCACCTCTCCTCCAACTCTCCTCCCCCACTCCTCCCCCACTCCACCACCGCTCCTCCACCTCTGCAGGTAGTGTCACACGAGGAGGAATGGAAGGTGTCTGCTTACGAGGCCATCATGCACCTCTTCAGACCCGGCCCCCCTGCCTCTCCCAGCCCTCTCGGAACTTCCAGCTCTCCCACCCCTCCCAACCGCTCTAGCCCTCCTGGCCCTGCCAGTCTCCCAACCCTCCCATCCCTCCAGCTCTCCCACCGCTCCCCCACTCCTCCCCCACTCCACCACCGCTCCTCCACCTCTGCAGGTAGTGTCACACGTGGAGGCATGGGAGGTGTCTGCTTACGAGGCCATCATGCACCTCTTCAAACCCGGCCCTCCTGCCCCTCCCAGCCTTCCTGACCGTCCCGAGCCCCCCAGCGCTCCTGGCTCTCCTTAGGGTGATTGCTGCATCTTGTGCGTTCTCTTGGCCGTAACCTAAGCTGTTTCTGGATCCGCATTTTATTCTTCATTTTCCCTCTCTTTCTCTCCTTGTAAGTTCCCATGCCCCGTCTTCCTCCTCACCCTTCCTCTCCCCCTCCCCCCCACGCTCAACTCCCCCACTTGTTTCCCCCCTTCTTCCACAAATTCTCCTGATGTGACACTTGTAGGCAGCTGCCCACTCTCTGTTGACTTGCTTGGTGCAACCGCACATTATTTCAGGAGTCTGCACAGTAATGTACTATAGTAGTACTGATAGATTATCGGTGATGATACAAACTAACAAACCAGTTATTTATTTTTGGCCAACTGTCCACACCAAATTGCACCACCTAGTATCGTCCCCTCGTGCCAATATTGTACGATCTTTTGTGCAAAATCCGTCTTTCCCTGTACTAATATTCCAATTTTTGCATCTACAACCCTCTAATCGGAACCTCTTGTGCAACCCGCCACTAAGTTTTTTTTGTTTTTCTTTTTTCAGTAGAACCTTATAGTGATACAATAAGTGCTAGTGTAAGGATTTCCTGAATCCTTACTGAGGCACTCGTTAGCAAGGTCATCCCGAAGGTCACGCGACGAACCTGTACTTCCTATTTCGTCGCACCGAACCACCCCCGAGTCGCCTCCCAAACCCAGCCATCACCGAGCCATCCTCGCCGGACCTCTTCGCCTAGCTAGCTTTCCCCCTATTTAGTCGTGCCACTCTCATTGTATCTTCAGTTCTTTGAGTTTCATTCTCGTTATTCGTTTTACTGCGCCCTCTGCAAGTTCATTCATAACAGCTAGAGAAGATATTTGCCACAATTTCTGTAAGGATAGGGAAGCTTTTGTGGAGCTCGCATTTTCCGTCACATACGGTACAGTAGGCCGTTGTGACGTACAGTGGCCGATTTGATATAAGCGCGGCGTTTGCGATAGAAACTGGCTGACATTAGCCAACACATCTGGTTTACTTTGCCTGGTGCTGAGTCAGACTATCCTTGCACGCAGTTATCGGATTACTGGATCCCATCATAGCACCTGATCGCATCGCATCGCCTTGCGAAAAAGTAGCATAGATGTGCCGACTCGACGTTCGGCTTTCGTGTTCAGGTCATCATACACGTCATTGCATCGGGGGCGAGGGGAAGTGGGGGGGAGGACCTTGGGAGGAGGGAGGGGAAGAGCGAGAAGGGGGGGGAGGGGGGGGGGGGGGGGGGGGGGGGTGGGATGGTAAGGGGAGGAGGAGGCGCCAACTAGGCGTGCTCACCTGATACTCGTTATCTGGCTAAAAAAACTTTGGGAAAATATATTGATGTGCTTCGTCGTTTCTCTGACTTTGTGGTAAGCTCCCTTGACGGTGACCGTTCTGACGGACAAAGGGGTGCAGCGAAGTGTTTTCTTATACAGTTGATGCCCAACCAGTGCACGCGGATTTGCCATGCGCCGGATAGAAACGCTGCACCCGAGGTTGTTTCCCCAGCCTGTTGCTCCCACGTTATAAGCGCGTCGCGTGGTTATCAACCAATAGTAACGAACAGACCGAGGTCAAGCAGAAGAGACTGAAGTCAAATAAGGTAACAGATCTTGTTTATAAGCACCTGCGAATCCTTTTTAGCTAACTGCGAATTGACGAAACTTATGCGAGATGCTTGTTACGGCTTATACGCCCACTTCACAAGGCAACCGGGAGGGGCTCAAACAGGCATCAATTGTAGAGATGGGGTGAAATCTACGCCTCCTTTGTGACTTGGCTTTCCTTTCCTCTCGGAGGTGAACAGTGAACGTTGATTCCATCATTTCGTGCCACCCAGCCAGACCTTGTTCTTGATGAAGGAGAATGGCTGCCCCCTTCCCGACCAGAACGCTTTTGTTGCGATCGTAACTGCAGATTCATCAGTTGTCTACAACGGATTGGTCCCTTTTCCACGTAAGCAAAAATCTACTGTACACAACACACACAAACACTGAGTGACTGAAAGTTTTTCTGCACGTGTAGACTTGTTGAATGCAGCATCACGAACAATTTGGCAAAAACCACTCTTCAAATATCACATGCCATGCATGGAATTGTAACCTTCAACGGTGATGGATATTTAATTATCCAGTGTGTTGTTATACCCTTCCCCAGACGTTCCCATTCAATGACAGTGCCCCTTTCTCACGGCCAACAGATGATGTCGTACAGTATGGGTTGCAGCAATCAGACGTTACAACACCACGCTCGTGCGGAAATTGAGGTGCCGCAACTTGTTCAGAGCTGAAGTTTTTCTTTCTTCCAAACACGAGAGAATTGCAGAACGGAAATTCTAGAAAGTACTGTAGTGGTTGCGGTACAGGACACTCTTCGTGCTTTATGAGTTTGTGGGGGTAGGATCTAGAGGCAGATTGTTCACCCTTTCTACTCGGGCCCATCTTGGGAGTACGTCGGCATTCAAAATACTTACTACAAGGTGAAGATGTTCGCGAGGTTTCCCTCGTCCCTTCCCAGTGTCTCCGCACAGTACCGTACTGTACTCTCCTCTCCTCCCTTCCACCAATCCCCTCCCCCTTTTTGGCCGCCCCCCTCAATCAGTCCACACATGGCACTTTCCCTTCGTGGTCGCAAAAGAAGAGCCGAATTTATAATATTTAGGACCATATTTAGAATAAAGACGTGTCGAGCCGCCCACACAATATGAACAGATTCGTTCTTCTTAAAGCCCAAGACCTGAATTACAAAAAAAGGAAGGCAAACTGTGCACAGTTTGCCTTCCGAGCCCACAGTTGACTTCCCGAGCCTCTCTGGTTACCAAATGACGCCCCGCAAAACTGCAGAGAGTCGTAAGCCCAAAATTGGTTGGCGAGAGTCCCAACCGCTCCCTCCTGAAGGGAGTAGGGCAAGGCAAGCTGTGTACAGATTGGAAATTGTTGTAATTCAGGTCATGCTCGACCACATAGTAGTCACGTGAAACTCCTAGGTAGAGCAGAAAGCCAATAGAGCTGGAGCCCAATCCACCGGAAAAAAAAAAAAACACCAAACAGATTCTATGCGATGACGCCGCTTTTTACTCAGCGTCGTCGTCGAAACCCTGCGCGACCGCGCAAACGACAGTTTGCGGCGCATGCATCTCCTCTCCGAGCTCGATAATAGGTAATCAAACGGTCGATCGCGGTCATTTCCCGCGCATTCGCCCTATGTTTGCCTCAGCTACATTCCCCTCCCGCGCTTCCTAGTCGACGTCACACCCTGCCACCCACGCTTCCCCTCGTCGCCGTCGCCGTCCCCCACGCTTCCCCCCACCGTCGCCCTCGCTTCCTCCCGCTGTCGCTCACACTTTACTCCGTCGTTGACCACGCTCCCCCTCCCGTCGCTTTCGCTTCCTCCCACCGTCGCCCTCGCTTCCTCCCACCGTCGCCCTTGCTTCCTCCCACCGTCGCCTTCGCTTCCTCCAACCGTCGCTTTCGCTTCCTCCCACCGTCGCCCTCGCTTCCTCCCACCGTCGCCCTCGCTTCCTCCCACCGTCGCCCTCGCTTCCTCCCACCGTCGCCCTCGCTTCCTCCCACCGTCGCCCTCGCTTCCTCCCACCGTCGCCCTCGCTTCCTCCCACCGTCGCCCTCGCTTCCTCCCACCGTCGCCCTCGCTTCCTCCCACCCTCCCCTACACTCCGTCGTCGTCATCACTTCCCTGCCTATCACGTTCACCCTCTTCGTCACACGTCGCCTCTCTCTCTCCCCCTATTCTACCTTCACCACTCCTACCGTCGTCCATGGTTACCACCCCACACTTGAACCCTTCTCATTCTCTCACATTCTCCCTTCTCCCTTGCTTCTCGCCCACACTACACGCAGAGATGTATGGCGCCTGGGCGCTGGGTATGGGGTCTTGAATTGTTCGCTGTGGGGTGTGTGAGGGTGCGTGGTGCGAAGGCTAGGGGAGAATGAAAGCTGATGGGGTGCGAGTCGAGGAGCACGCACCCTGCCCCTCACGCTGTGTCACTCACAACCCAATGGCAGCACAGCAAGCTTAGCAACCTCCTCCTCACTCTCGCACCAACCCCGCACACAGCCGGGGAAGCTCGTGCAGGCGGGCAGTGAGGAGCGCTGTGCACAAGGGGGCGAGGGGGTGGGGCAAGGGAGCGGGGGAGGCGTGGCAGGGGAGTGAGGGAGGGGGGAGTGGGGGAGGCGGGGCAGGGGAGTTGGGGAGGGGGGCAGGGGAGTGGGGGAGGGGGGGCAGGAAGCCGTCCCGTCTTCCTCCTCTTCCTCTTATTTGCCTTCTCCTGTCCGTCCTTCCACTCTCCATGCCTCCCTCCTCTCTTTCTCTCTCTTTCCCTCCTTCACTTCTCCCGTCCGCCCGTGCTCCCAGCCTCCCTCCTCCGTACCACTCTCCCACCCACTCTTTCTTTCATCCTCCTGCCTCTCTTCCACCCTGCCACTCTTCTTTTCAGACTGCCACCTTCCGAGCTTCTTTTAGTCCACCTTTCCGTCTCACCCACTTGTCCTCCCCCAACTTGATCCTCACATCCTCCCATCCCCCCTTCTCCCCTTCCACCCTCCAACCCTTGCGCTCATCCTCCCTTCGTCTCACCCTCCTTTTTTCTCATCCTCCCATCCTCCCTCTCTTCCCTCCCCCCTCCCTTCCTCCTGTCCTCCCTTCCTCCCTTCCTTTCTTCCTCTCTTCCACCCTCTGCCCTACTCTCTGCTTCATTGTCTTTCTCCCCTCTCTTTCCCCTTTCCTCCCTCCCTTCATCTCATCCTCTCTTCCGCCCTTCCTCCTTGTCTCCCTTGCTCATTTCTCCCTCCTCATATTCCCTGTTCCCTGCGTCCCTCGCTACCATCCTCCCTTCCTCTCAGCCTCCTCACTTCCTCTCGTCAACCATTCCTCCGCACCCTTCTACCCTGCCACGCCTATACACTCCTACCTTGTTCTAGGGGCTTGTTTCTTGTTGCCTGCCTGCCCTTGCATTGTCATTGTTTTGTATCCTTCCCCGCTGCTTC